AACACACCACGGCTATATATAACCAAGGGAAAAATACAGTGTCTATGCCAGCTCCCTACCAACCTCAAGTTAAAAGAAATATTCTACCCAAATAAGAAGGAACCAAAAATGTAGTTCTGACAATATAAAAAAGCAAAAGTTTTCAACAAGTTCAAAAACCACACTAACTTTTCAGTAATAGAACTAACCTAAATGAAATCTTTGAAATTCCAGAAATAGAATTAAAGCGATTGTAAAATTGCTCAATGAAAATTGAAAACCATACCTGGGCTCGGTGGCTCAGCCTGTAATCCCGCACTTTGGGAGGCTGAGGTGAGTGGATTGCCTGAGCTCACGGGTTTGAGAGCTTCCTGGGCAACTTGGCGAGACCTCATCTCTACAATAAATCAAAAATTCAACCGGGCATGGTAGTGCGTGCCTGTAATTCTGGCTACTCAGAAGGCTGAGGCAGAAGGATCGCTGGAGCCCAGCAAATTGAGGCTGCAGTGGCCAGGAGCATCCACTGCACTCCAGTCTGGGCAACAGAGTGAGAATCCAACTCAAAAAAAAAAACCCAAAATACAGAAAATTTTTAAAAACTATTCAGGACATGAATTTAAAATTCTCTAAAGTAATAGACACCTTTTTTGAAAAGCTGAAATTGTGTTAATGAAAAAGTCATTTGGGAAAGTGCAAAATAGAACATGTTAACAGTAGGCTAGAACAAGTAGAAGAAAGGATCTCAGAACTTGAAGGCAAGGTTTCCTAATTAGCCTGATCAGACATCTTATATAATAAAGAAAAAAGAATCAAAAGAGTGAAACAAAGTTTCCAAGAAATGTGGGATTATGTAAAACACCCAAACCTAAGAATCATGGGTGTTCCTGAGGAAGAAGAGAAAGCAAAAAGTTTGGAAAGCCTATTTTAGGGAATAATAGACAAAAATTTCCCTGGTCTTGCCAGAGATTTAAACATCCAGATATATGTAGCCCAAAGAATCCCCAGAAGAGTCATTGTAAAAAGGCATTGTAAGGCATATAGTCTTCAGGTTATGAAAAGTTAATGTGAAGGAAAGAATTCTAAGAGCGTGAGAAAAAAATCATCAAATAACATACAAAAATAAACCTATCAGACTAACAGCAGACTCCTCAGCAGAAACTCTAAAAGCTAGAGGAGATTGTGGCCCTATCTTCAATCTCCTAAAACAGAATAACTGTCAGCCAAGGATTTTGTATCCTGTAAAATTAAGTTTCATACTGAAGGAGAAGCAAATTATTTCTCAGACAAGCAAACATCGGGACGCTCTCATCACTAGACTGGTTCTACAAGAAATACTAAAGGAGTTCTAAATATTGAAATAAAAGGTCAAAACATACCAGTAGAAAAATAGTGAACATTAGAAAGCTCACAGGGCTTATAGAACACCAACACAACAGAGAAAATAAAAGCAATAGAATAATAACCAACATGATGAATGAAATAGAACCTTACCTATCATTGCTAACTCTGAACATAAATGGTATCAATGTCCCACTTAAAAGATCAAGATTGGCAGAATAGAGTTTTAAAAACACAATCCAAATACCTACTGCCTTCAAGAGACCTGTTTAAAACACAAGTACTCCCATAGACCCAAGGTAAAAAGTGGGAAAAAATTTCATGCAAATGGAAACCAAAAATGAGAAGGGGTATCCATTCTCATATCAGATAAAACAGACTTTAAAAACAGTTAAAAAAAAAAAAAAGATATTATGTAACAATAAAGAGATCAATCTATCAAGAAGATATAACAATTTTAAATTTAAATGCATATAATATGAGAAGTCCCAACTTTATAAAACAAATTCTACTAGATTTAAGAAAAGAGAGAGATAGCAATATGATAATGGTAAGAGACTTCAACACTCCACTGACAGCAATAGATAAATCATTAAAGCAGAAAGTCAACAAAAAAACACTGAAGTTAAACTGGACCATAGAGTAAATGCACCTAACAGATATCTACAGAACATTCTACCCCAAAACAACAAAATATACATTTTTCTCATTAGCACATGAAACATTCTCCAAGACATATCATATCAGAGGCCACAAATCAAGTCTCAATAAACTCAAAAGAATTGGCCCAGCATGATAGTTCATGCCTGTAATCCCAGCAATTTGGTAGGCCAAGATGGGCAGATTGGTTGGACCCAGCAGTTTCAAGACCAGCCTGGGCAACATTGCAAGACCTCATCTCTATGAAAAAAAGAATTAATATCATATCAAGCACCCTCTCAGACCACAGAGGAATAAACTAGAAATTAACTTCAAGAGGAACTCTCAAAACCAAACAAATACCTGAAAATTAAGCAATCTGCTCCTGAATGATCTTTGGGTTAACAATGAAATTAAGATGGAAATTTCAAAATTCATTGAAATGAATAACAGTGACAGAAGCTATCCAAACCTCTGGGACACAGCTTTTCTCAGAAAAAAATGTATAGAGCTTACATCCTACATCTAAAAAGACTGAAAGATCTCATATTGGCAACCAAACCATCACACCCTAAGGAACTACAAGAACACAAACAAACCAAGCCCAAAACTAGTAGAAGGAAAGAAATAACGAAGAGCAGAGCAGAACTGAATGAAATTGAAACCAAATAAAAATACAACGGATCGATGAAACAAAAGTTGGTTCTTTGAAAATAATATCTTTTGCAGCAACTTAGACGAAATTATAGAAGTAACACAGGAATGGAAAACCAAACACTGCATGTTCTCACTTTTAAGTGAGGGTTAAACTAAGGATACACAAAGGCATATAGAATGGTATGAAGGACATTGAAGACTCAGAAGAGGGAGAGTGGGATGGAGAAACGGATGGGAAATCTCGTATCAGGCACAATGTGCACAGGTGGGGGTGGTGGGTACACTTAAAACCAAGACTTCTTTACCACTATACATGCATTCATGTAAACAAAACTATTTGCACTCTCCAAAGTACTTTTTAAAAAAGGTATCTTATAGTCAATTACGTGATTTTTTTCCTTTTTTTTCAAAATTCTCCAAATCTTTTATATAAGAATGCTTTTAGAAAAAGAAGCATTTTTGTTAAATCCACCTTAGAGAAAACTAAGCTGAAAGTTAGACATGGCTTACTGAATGTCTGCCATGGATAAGTGTTCTTACACTATGGGAAAAACAATTGTCCTGGGTACAAAATCATCCTGGGCATAAATTTTTTAAAAAACAGTTTTCCAGACATGGTGGTACATGCCTCTAGGGGAAAAAAAAGTTAAATTCAGATCACACAAATGAGAAAATTAAAATTAAAATTACTGAGAATTTCACCACCCAGATATTGTCATCATTAATGCTTTAAAATATTTCCTTCCACTATTTTTCTAGGTATTCGTGAGGTCAGTTTCTTAATTTTTTTTTACCTTATTTTATTATTGATATGTGGGATAAAATCAGGATTAAGTATATAAGTTATCTATGTACAGGGGAAGATAGTCCTCACTTCCCCTGGCTTAGGACCTGGTACCCTTTATGTTGCCACTTGCCCCCTGCACCAAGACCTGTTTCTTTACCAAGAATTGGGCTGGGACTGTTTAGAACTTATAATGTCTTCTTTTCCATGACTCTTTCGTCTATCTTCATACTGTTGAGAGTGTTGGGATAATCTGTTTGCAATTGTTTATAAACAGCCTATGATTGCAAGACTCAGGGACATCAGAGATATGGCTCTCTGGACACAGGACAAAGAATATTTAGTGAACAGTGCTTATTAAAATGACCAGCATTTCTTGAAGGGAACCTCCCTTTCATTCACAAGTGCTATGGTTGGAGTGAAACAGTCTCCACCTCAGCTTAAAGAGTACTAAATGATCAAACTAATCAGCACTCAATTTTGATGGACACAATGATGATTAATCTTGGTCCAGTGATTACCAAATCCAGAACAATAGTTAAATCTGTGGGATAAGAAAAGATCTCTTTGTCACAAACTATTTGCAATTAATAGAGGATTCTACCTTTTAATTTTTTTTTTCAATTTTAGATTCAGGATGTACAAGTACACGCTCGTTACATAGCTATATTGTATCCTAGTGGGGACTGGTCTTCTGGCATCCCCATTCTCCAAATAGTGAACATTGTACCCAAAGGGTCGTCATTGAACCCTCACCCCTCCATACCTTCCCCTCGTTTGTTGTCCCCAGTATCTATTATTTTCGTATTTATGTTCATGAGCACTTTTTCTTGAGACAGGATATCACTATGTTGCCCAGGCTAGTCTCAAAATTTTTGGCTCAAGCAATTCTCCTGCACTGGCCTCCAAAGTGCTGGGATTATAGGCATGAGCCACCATGTGCAGTCTAAAGAAGGAATCTAAATATTCAAAAAATTGCATTCTGCAATGGTGGTAAGATAGGAAGAGGGTTGCCATTTGAGGTATTTGTGGAGTGTGTCCAGCTATGGCAAGTCCAGCCTCTATCTCACACCACCAATTGGACTTCCCACCATGACTCTTACCATCCTGTCCTCTAACCACAGATTTTCAGTCTACTCCCACCAGCTATCAGCCCATCAAGGGCAGGGGCCATATCTCTCTTACCCCTGGATTTGCCTTGCTAAATGATTATCCATGATTTCCCAGAATGGAAAAAGAGCCAAGAACTTAGAAAAGGAGACATTCTTTGTTCTGTTCAGGCACTGCGGAGCTTCTGAGGTTCCAGTCCTTCTACTAGTTGCAACCACAGTCTCAGCAGCTCCACCTTCTTTATTCTTGCTTTCACCTTGTGACTCAGCAGCATGGGTGCAAATGTGGTGTCAGTGCCATTGTCACTTAAACCAAACAAGAGAACTTCGACAAATCATCTTGTATGATGAGGTGCGTGTCAAAACCAAAAGAGCACAGCTCTAGGAGGTCTGTGAAGTCACGGAACCTGCCCCTCCTTTGTCTTCCTCCAGCAGCTTTGTATCTGAAAGGAGTCAAGACCAGCAGCTCTGAAATGGGCAGCCTCCCTGAGAAGATGTGGCTGCCCCTGCTCCTGCAGGCCTTTCTTCTGCTCCCTGGGGCTGGAACAGGTAAGTGACCGTCCCTGTTCCAGAGGCCTGAATCCATCTTGAAAAAGCATTGGTCAGGAATGTTCATCAGTCTGAGCTTAGCTGCCACCTCACACCCAGACTTCAAAGTCTGATGTTAGATAGATACTCAACGAGGAAGGCAGAAGGAAAGGGGTCTCCTGAAAGGTTTAGTAGGAATTGTGCTCTCCCTAGACCTTTACATTATGAAAAGTGGATTGTTCTTAGAAAGGCACTTGGTAGGGACTGTGGAGCCACAAAAGATAAATGATTATACTCCCTCACTCCTAACCAGGACAGGGCAGCTCAGGCATCCAGGCTGCAGTAGACCCAACTTAAGAACGAGTTAAATTATTCAGTGCACTCCACCCTCCCACCTCTGTTGTGAAGAGAAGCCCAGGGTGCAACTGATCTCAGAGGTGGAACGATGACTGCATCCATAGCCCTCCTATTGCCTTGGCTCCATCTCAGCCCTTTGCAATCCATTTCAAGTTGGCTTCTCACTTTCCCCTGCCTTCCCAAGTCCCTGGCTGCTCTACTGTCTTTGACAGTCTCCTCTCCAGACATCCCTGAGGCCCTGAATCCCACCAGCATTACCCCCACCAAAATCCCCAGCCAAAACTCATTGGAGGTCATTCAATCATGCAACCAAAAAAGGTTTACTGAAAACCTAGGATGTGTTAGGCCCTAAACAGGAGGATTTTAGAAAATCCATCTCCATAAGCTCATGGGTAGGTCATTAGAAAATGAACCAGCCGGGCTCGGTGGCTCAGCCTATAATCCCGTGCCTTTGGGAGTCTGAGGTGGGTGAGTGGATTGCCTGAGCCCGCGGGTTCGAGACTCGCCTGGGCAGCAAGACCTCATCTCTACAATAAATCAAAAAATCAGCCAGGCGTGGTAGCGCATGCCTATAATTCCGGCTACTTGGGAGGCTGAGGTGGAAGGATCACCGGAGCCCAGCAGGCGAGGCTGCGGTGGCCGGGAGCGGCCGCTGCACTCCAGTCTGGGCGACTGAGTGAAACTCCAACTCAAAAAAAAAAAAAAAAAAAAAAAAAGAAAATGAACCAAATAGCCGTTGCTTTGCTAAGCTCTGGTCTGGCCATGTGGCTCTTTGAGCTATGGCCACCATTTTTTCCTAAGCTTTATCCCCACCCACCCCACACCAGGGAAGTGAAACTCCTCTCTCTCTCCCTCTCTCTCTCTCTCACTCACTCATTTGCATTCTAAATAAACCATATTCCCAATCTAAAAAAAAGAAAAGAAAATGGCATCAATTGGGTGACAGCAGAGGCTCAGAGGGATTGAGGAGACTGGCTGAGAAAGAAGGAACAAGAGCAGTCCTATTCAGGATCCTCTGGGGCTCCACCCTTGTGAAGATAGACTTACCTCCTCCCTATGTGTGTCTGAAGTAAGACACGGAACACATGTCCTGGCCCTCCTTTCTCGGAGGGGGTTCTGAGGTTTGAGGTTCAGAAAAGTTCATTCTACCTACAAAGAGTGCCACTCGCAGAGCCCAAGAGGATACCCCTCACTGTCTGCAGACCGAGATCTCACCCTCAATTGCCATCTTCCTAAGCCTTCTCTCCTGACCACAGTCACCCCCAGCCACCCATCTTCTGATCTTTTCTTTCAGAGGAGATCATCGGGGGCCATGAGGCCAAGCCCCACTCCCGCCCCTACATGGCGTTTGTTCAGTTTCTGGTTAGGGAGCGCAAGAAGAGGTGTGGCGGCTTCCTAGTGCGAGAGGACTTTGTGCTGACAGCTGCTCACTGCTGGGGAAGGTGAGGAGCAGCACCAGCTCACCTCCTGAGACTCCTTGCAGGGACCACTGTCCTCTACCAATGGACTGTAGCCCAGGGGAGCTTCCTGGGCTCCTGGTAACATAGGCCCAATGTGGGCTGGTCACAGCAACCACCTGGGAGCATGACTGAGATAATGAAGGTTGAGAAATAGGACTGGAAAGCTTTGGGGTCAGAGGGGCAGAGCAAGTGGCACAGCTGGGAAAAGAGGGACCACACCTGCAAAATAAAGCAATGTTGGAGGCTGACAACATGCATTAAGGGTCAAAATGTAAGCTCGAGCACTTTCACAACACTGCCTGAAGCCAAGAGAAAACCCCCAGAAGCCCTACTCTTAGTGTCTTTGAGAAGCAGAGAGTATAGCCACTCAGTCCCAGAGCCCTCCTCTCCCCTCAGTTTCCCCGGAGCTACAGCCCTGCCCTGTCCCAGCTGTCACCTGCTCTTCCTGGCTCCTGAACCATATCACCTGTGACTCAACACCCCACATCCCCCTGTGTTCTCTGCGCAGGTCACTAAGTGTCACCCTGGGGGCCCACAATATTAAGCAGCCAGAGCAGACCCAGCAGGTCATCCCTGTGAGAAGAGCCATCCCCCACCCAGACTATGATTCTAATAGATACTCCAACGACATCATGCTACTGCAGGTGAGGCAAACTCTCACTGCTCTTGGTCCTCTTGGTCCAGTTGTTACCCCTCTCACTGTGACGCTGGCCCTTCCCTCTTTTGCATTCTGGTGGCTTGGCCAGTTCCCACGCCTCAGAGGGAAGGTGGCACAGCCCCATCACAGTGTCTGGGGCCAGAAGGTCATTGACTGACCAGAAGTTTCTCACCTATTTCCCACCAGCTGGAGAGAAATGCAGAGGTGACGGCAGCTGTGCAGCCCCTTGAGCTTCCTGGGCACAAGGCCAGGGTGAAGCCAGGCCAGGTGTGCAGTGTGGCTGGCTGGGGCAAGGTCTCTATGGACACTTTAGCGAACAAACTGCAAGAGGTGTCACTGACGGTGCAGAAGGACGAGGAGTGCGAAAGTTTCTTCCCCAACCATTACATCAGAGCCACCGAGATTTGTGTGGGGGACCCAAAGAAGACAAAGTCTGGTTTCAAGGTCAGTTTGAAGACAAATGCTGGTTTCAAGGTCAGTTTTCCAGAATGTCCCCAAATAGGCACCAGGGAGAGGACTGTGTGGGAAGGGTGGGCTATGGAGTAGCTAGATCCTCATGCTCTCAGTCCAGAGCTTGGACCCCAGGAATTCAGTCTTTAGTCCAATCCCTGGGTAGATTGGGGTATGAGTGGAAAGGATCTGTCATCTTGCAGCAGTGTGATCTCCAGAATATCCCAGAAGATTGCAGAGAAAGCTTGGCCTGGGTCAAGCTGGAAAGAACAGTAGGGCCATGTTGGAGCCCCAGGACTGAGGGAGGCAACAAGGCTGGCCCTGGCCCTGATGCCACACACACAGCCCCCTGACAGAGACCACCTGCTCCCAGGAGGCCAGCTCAGTCTATCCTCTCTCTGCCTGCAGGGGGACTCTGGGGGACCCCTTGTGTGTAACGGCCAGGCCCATGGCATTTTCTCCAGTGGACAAACCAGCGGGAAACCTCCAGGCATCTTCACCAAGGTCTTACACTTCCTACCCTGGATAAAAACAACAATGAACTGCCTCGAACAGCGGGCATAAGGCCGACCTTCCTCAGTGCCTGACCATCTCTTCTGGTCAGAATCTTGTGGGGGTGGGTGGTGGGGATGGCAGAACTGCAATAAATGGATCTCTAGAGTGAACACGACTGAAGTCTTATTTAGTCACTGAACCACCTTCAATAGGCAACAGCACTGCTCCAGGCAGCCCTCTGCTGTCAGTTCTGGCTGTTACTTTCTGCTTTCTCCCCAGCCCTCCCTCCTCCCTAAACCCCATGCTGTACAGTTTCTCATCAATTTCTCAATCCCGTGTCTTTGATACTTGACCCTCTGCCAGAGTTCGATCTGAACTCCATTATAAAAGGACAGTCTTCTTCCCTGTCCCCCGCAAAATGAACCTCTCTAGGCCTTTAGAATTTTCTTTACCATCTCTGCACCAACCACCTTCCCCAATCCACCTCTCCTAACAATTTGGCACAGAGTAGAGTGGGGCAGTGAAAAGGAGATAAAACCCGGAACCCAGGAGGCTGGGGACCACATACCATAAGCACTCATTGTCCTATTTCTAGGGCCTCTCTCTCGCCAGGGAGGACAAGCTTATCCCACAACCAGGACTGTCTGCAGGGTAGGAGGTTGAGATGCTCCTCTGATGTACGTGCTCCTCTGATGTCCGTCTACCTCACGCAGGCCCAGCACTGAGCTCAACCTTCTGCCTCCCTGGCTGACCTTCCTACACCAGCCCCTGTTATCTGCCAAAGTGCCTGGCCAACAACTCCTTTTCCTTCCAGCCCACCCACCCCGTTTTGAAGCCAGCCTCTCTCTTATCTTCCAAACGGAGTCCCAATCTGTGTGGAGTCTCCTCTGTTGCTCGTCCCAGTCACACCTGGACTGCCAGCCCAGGTGATGGTAATCAAAGAAGCCAGCTCTCACCTCCCTAGTCCAGCCCAGCATCCCCCAGGGGCTCAGGTATCACCTGTGGAGTCACTCAGCAGCCTCCTTCAACCTAGCTTGGCCCCAGGATCCAGACTCCCCCTGCTGACATTCTGGGATTATAGCAGCCATGCACCAGAGAGCTCTGGGATCCCTGGGCTGAAAGTAGTATTTGGCCATCCCTCAATAGACAAATACTTGCTGACCTCACTGTTTATGCCAGGCACATAATAGACTTTGTGTCTTCTTTTGTAAAGCCTACAGTGATGATAAATTTCCTCTAAATTCTCCTGCTTTCTCTGCTTCCAACAGGCAGGTCAGTTGGCACAAATGGATCTGTAAGTGTAATCCACAAGAAATTTTGTTTTGAAAATAATTAAATTGGTCGGGCTCGGCGGCTCAGCCTGTAATCCCACCACTTTGGGAGGTAGAGGCAAGTGGACTGCCTGAGTCCACGGGCTCGAGACCCGCCCGGGCAACTGGGCGAGACCTCATCTCTACAATAAACCAAAAATCAGCCGGGTGTGGTAGTGCACACCTGTAGTTCTGGCTACTGGAAGGCTATGGTGGACGGATCGCCAGAGCCCAGCAGGTCGAGGCCACGGTGGCCAGAAGTGTGCCACTGCACTCAGTCTGGGCGACCGAGTAAGACTCCAACTCAAAAAAAAAAAATTGAAAAAGAAAATAATTAAATTATCTGTCTGTATTCTCTCTATACTGTGCATTGCAGTGTCACATGCAAAATAATGGTTTGGTTTCAGAAGGGCAGTGCATGAAATTGGAAGAGACATGGAGAGCCTAAGATTTGGGGCTTTCTAATCTGTGCTCTGTAGAGTCTGTCCAAAGGTGTGCAAGGAAGGGCAGAGGCAATCAGAGCAGCCTCAACTTTGTTTATTCTGCATACAGGAGACATGAACCTCAGTTCACAAACCTAAGAAATGCTACATTTCAAGTGCAAGATGGCTCACTGTGACCCAAATGACCTTATGTAGGACCCTTACCCCCTCAAACAGTACCACTAGTGAGTTAGATGTGGCAGAACATAATCAATTCACACTAGCTGACAAAAACTGAATCAAGTGGAAACAACACCGAGAAAAGGAGCAGCTTCACTAAAAAGAACAACAAATAAGTCACATGCATAGAAAAAAAAATCCAGCATATTGAAAACTAAAGAGGTTTGAACAATTATAAGAAAGCGATTGGTGGTAGTGGAAAACTGTCAGGGAGGAGGCGGTGAGACTGGCAGTTAGGGGAAACTGCTAGGGGAGGGAGGGGCACACCTCATCAACAAGGGTACCTGCATGATTGGTGTTTATATACCTAACCCTTAATTGTACCCCACATCTTTAAATAAATATAAATTTTTTTAAAAGAAAATTAATGTAGAAGAAAAATAGACTTATTTTTCACATAAAACTGTCCAGTGTCCATCTGCCAAGTCTTTCCCTGGGAAGCAGCACAGGTAAGAGAGGAGAGAATTGTTTGCAGAGATGACTAAGTGAACAGTAGAATGTGTGGGAGTCAGGGAGCAATAACACAGAAGAAATGAAGAGACCCAAGAAAGCCAACCATGAAGAGCTCCACAGAGTCCCAGGGGCAAGTCAGAGACAGCAGCAGAGTGACCAAAGATCTCCACCACTGAGGCAAGACGGTGAGGCCTCAGAGGACAGTGTTCTGATGGGTCAGTCTTCCCTCTTACACCAGGGAGAAACTCTAGGCACCAAGTTTGAGATGCATCAAGAAGAAAAAAACCTTACCTTACAATGACACATGTTTCCTTCATGTGACCTCTGCATAAGTTCTCTCTCTTGATGTAGTGAATTATTTCTAGGACTTTATCCTATGTAAGATGTGAAGTGTGTGTGTGTGTGTGTGTGTGTGTGTGTGTGTAGGAGAGTTAGTCATAAAGATATTCATCACAGTATTATCTGATATAGACTCCAAACAAGAATCATTATTAATGTCCCAAATAAAGAAATGGTAATAAACATAAAACCTCAAACTATAAGAATCTTAGAAAGCACAGGGGACACCCTTATAGAAATTGTAACTGGGAACCAATTCCTATTCAGAACCCTAAAGACTAATACCTTATGAAATAAAATAGACAAGTGGGACCTCATCAAATTAGCAAGCTTCTGCAAAGCAAAAGAAACCATCAAGACAGCAGGGAGACAGCCCACAGAATGGGAAATAATATTTGCCAACTGTATATCTCTGACAAAGGCCTAACA